CACACACACACACACACACACACACACACACACACACACACACACACTGTGTTTGTCTCTCTTTTTGTGTCTTTGTCTTTCTCTGTCTCTGCCTGTCTTTCCTCATTCTCTGTTTATCTCTCTGTGTCCCTGTCTCTCTTTCTCTCTGCCTCTCTTTCTTGTCTATTCTCTCTCCTCTCTCTCGCTGACTGAACCATACTTTTCCACACCAGAAAATTAAGTACCATGTATGAGACACTGAAGATTGTTTGACAATATGCATGTTCATCTGATGTGCTACAAAGTCAAGGTTTTTACAAAAATTTAAACTTCAGGAAAGAAAACAAGGTGACAAAATAAGGTAATGATTGCTGTTAATTTTACCATAAGCGTGTGTGTGTGTATGTATGTATTTATTTTTGAGGCAGATTTTTGCCATGTAACCCGAACTGGCCCTGAACTCATGATCCTCTTGTTTTAGGCTCCCTATTCTGGGCTTACAAACATTCATCACCATGCCTTTTAATATATTTTTATTCAGAAAAAAGTCTACCAGTACTATGAGTGGATGCCAAACATTTAGATCACAAAATTGTGCACATGATGTTTGGTGAGAGATATGATCAAATTTGTCATAGTTTTGGAATGGTGGTACATACTGACTGGCAGAATTAACTTCAGTTTTGGTTTCTTGATGTAGCACATACTATGAACTCATCTATGTAAACTTTCCTAGGAATTTTTGGAACAGAAAATGGAAATAGTAATTTTTATTATATTTCTAGACAAGAGAATTTGTTTTAACTTTTCATTATAGCAATTGAACTGTGTAATATTATTTATTTTATTTTGGAAACTGATAGACTTAAAATTGACATCACGGGCATTTCCACACCCATTGTGTATAGCCTTGCCCAGAAACGAAGACACATTTTAACAGACTTTAGCCGTCAGTGAAATTGAGAATACTTTGGAGAGAAACGTTTTGAAAGGAAGTAGCTTCTTTTTTTTTAATTTTAATCTTTTTTTTAAATTTTTTATTAATTACACTTTATTCATTTTGTATCCCCCATAAGCCCCACCCTCCTCCCCTGCCGATCCCACCCTCCCTCCCCTTTCTGCATGCATGCCCCTCCCCGAGTCCACTGATAGGGGAGGTTCTCCTCTTCTTTCTGATCTTAGTCTATCAGTTCTCATCAAAAGTGGCTGCATTGTCCTCTACTGTGTCCTGGTAAGGCTGCTCCCCCCTCAGGGGGAGGTGATCAATGAGCAGGCCAATCAGTTTATGTCAGAGGCAGTCCCTCTTCCCATTACTATGTAAACCACTTGGACACTGAACTGCCATGGGCTACACCTGTGCAGGGGTTCCAGGTCATCTCCACGAATAGTCCTTGGTTGGAGTATGATTTTCTGGGAAGTTCCCTGTGTTCAAATTATCTTGTTCTGTTGCTCTCCTTGTGGAGTTCCCGTCCCCTCCAGCTCTTACTATTTCCCACTTCTTACATAAAATTCCATTCACTCTGCCCATCAGTTGGCCATCAGGCTCAGCATCTGCTTTGACAGTCTATACTGCAGAAGCTTCTTAACAACTATAATTTTAAGCTAGAGTCACATAGGAGATTGTTTTACTCACATAGAAGAAGTTGTTATAAGTTAATTAGGTAGAAAAAAAACTCTAAAACATAATAAGGTTATAAGTTAGATTCAGTCACTATGTAACTAGCTGTTACCTTTGCTGGTGGCCCTCATAAACCAATTAAGTTGCCTAGATGTCAGCGCTTCGGCCTGTTGTTCTGGAGTTCTTTAGTAAGTAAACCCTTTAGCATGCAAGTTTTACCCCTGGAGAAAAAGATAGAAAGTTCCTATATTAAATTAACTTATTAATAATATTTTTCATCTATAGGAAATAAGTTCTGATTCTTCATGTTTGATGTTCTCACTGGTGGGTCCTCTTACACTTTATCACAGAGAGTAGCTGTTTGTAATGTCCTGTTCCACATGTCTTTGAAGAGTGCGATGTTGAGCCTTTCATTGTATTGGCTCATCAGGGTGGATTTAGACATGAATTGGAAAGAAAAATGAAACCATTATGCATCACAGAAATGTTTATATGAACATATTTAAAAATCTCTCTATACATAGTCTTTTAGAATGTTTCTCAGCCTATATATACTAATACTGACCAGTCAACAAAACTTATACTTGCTAATAAATACTTTAAAATTTTAACTTGAATTGGTCATACATACACACACACACACACACACACACACACACACACACACACACAAGAATTTATTCAGCTTATGGTGGCATACAACATTCTGAAGCCTGAGGCAAGGGGATCATGAGTTCAAGGCTAGTGCTGGCATGATGACATATGCCTATAATCCTAGTACTTGGGAAGTGAGACCAGGAGAATCAGAAGTTTAAGGTTAGCCTTGGCTATATTGCAAATTCAAGGTCACCCTGGACTCTATCTCATAAAGATAATAAAATTGTGCCATACCCCAGCACGCACACACACACACACACACACACACGCACACACACACTTCTTAATCCTCATTATGTATAATATATTCACTCTATTTTCTATTATTATATTCTATTTTATTGAAAACTGTTCCTGGAGACACATTCAACTGATAACTAATTTCAAATCCTCTAATGGGTTGCAAATCAAGATTTTAACACACTAACCCAAACAATCATATGAACTGTGATTAAATGGCCCTGTGAGTATATTTATAGCAAATGAAAAATAGTCTATGAAGCACATTGCGCCAACTGAATGTGAGCTGGTTATTGTCTCTTAATTCTGTGAGGGTGTAAGTATAAATTAATATTTAAAGTATTTTAAGAGGCTTATAGTTAAACATCTAAGGAAATATATTTCTAAGAAGAGAAATCAGTGCTGTCACTTTACTTCAATTCATGGAATTTAAACATTCCACGAATGCTGTAGTTCCTCATATCACAGGGCTAATAATTTCCGACTTCTAGGACCCAGTGTTTGCAAGGAGAAAAGTACTGAGCCAGTTGTGTCAACCCTTGTCACGGACCAATTAGATGGCTTCAATCAGAAATGGCTCCTGTTAGTCTCTAAATGGAGAACTGGTGATTCTGTGTGTCTTACTTTGAAGCCACTAGGCAGCCAGACTCACAGCTAGAAGTCACGTTGGACATGACAGTTGCGGAAATAGAGCTAGCGGGGGCACTCTGGTATGACCAGGGGCTGGAAATATGGATCCCTGCTCTCCTCTCTATATGGAGCACAAGAGGGAAAATGATGTGATGTTTTTGCTTTTGCTTTTGCTTTTACCTTTTTTATTTTTTGAAATGTATTTGGAGCATGTTACATTGCGTGTGAGCCTGTAATCTCAGCACCTGGGAAGCTAAACCAGAAGATTGTGAATTTCAGGTCAACGTGGGCAACAGAGTTAAGACTCTGCCTGGAAGAAGGAAGAATGAAAGGAGAAAGGTGGGATGGAAGGAAGTAGGGAGAGAAAAAGAAAATTTTAAGGTTAGGAATTCTTCATAGGTTTTGAAATCTAAAACCAGTCGTAAACTCTGTCCCTCAGCCCCTGCTTCCTGTTCACAGCTCAGGCTGCTGGAAGCACTTCCTGGTGTTTTCCAGATGTTGTGCCTGCTACTATGGGTAGCAGGCTCTAAAAGCACCTCCAGACTCCAACCATTCTAGAGTTACTTTCTACTTGTTTGTGGCTCCTGCAGAGTGAGAAAGAGGGAACCATAATCTTTGCCCTTTGGACATGATTTTTTTTTCTATTTACATTGCTAGAGTGTAGGAATAATGGGTATTCTCCTTGCCAGAGAGCCCAAGACCCTGTAATACCTACCATTTGTTAAATGCTTCTGCCTAGGGGGTGCTGGGTAGGGGCGGGGAGGGAGGCAAGAGAGAGCAGGGAGAGATGCCCCCAATGGTTCAGTGAAGTGGTCCATTTCCATATTGTCCACATTTAACAAATACAGCTCTCCACCACACAATTGCTAGGTCTACATCAACATTACTCCAAAATTCTGACTTTTCTCATTTCATCGGCATTTAACTTACTTCTTCAGTTACCTTTCTTTTTCACTAGTGTTAAAAAATGGATCAGACAGTGCAACATCGCCACATTCCCCCTCACCCCTCCTCCCTCCCCTGCTCTTAACCTCTTGCATCAGTGTAGTGCAGTTTTCACAAAGGAGGAAGCTATTAACAGCAGGAGTTCCCTCTGCATTACAAAGTTCTATAGTTCTGGACAGGTGCATGCCTATGGGTATTTTCCCTCGGTCTTTGCCACTGCATGTCTACACGCATCCGTCATTAGTGTCTCCCACAGACTATGCTACAGTGTTGCTACCTTATAAATCCCAGGCAAGCTTCCTTATCCCCTTCACCTTCCTTACCCCTGCAGTCCCTGCTTTTCCTACTTTCCACAAATTTGCCTTTCCCCGCACATCACGTAGTTGGAATTACGCAGCCTCTAGCCTTTTCAGGTTGGCTTCTTCCAGTCAGTACTATGTGTTCCTTCCTCCATATCTTCCCATGGTTTGGGATAATTTCTTTTCATTGCTGAAGAATATTCCACTAGATGATGCAGCAGTTTTTTTTGGGGGGGGGGCATCTTACTTGCTTGCAATTTTAGCAGTTATGCTGCAAATATCTGCATGCATGTTTCCATATGAGCTAAAGTTTCAAGTTCACGTGGGAAACTAAAAAAAGGTACAAATGTGAGACGATATGTGATAAGCCTATGTGCAGCTATGTAAGGACCTGCGAGACTGCCTCCGAGCAGCTGTGTGGAGTTGCATATTGCCTCATCCACATTAACTCTCGGTGTTAGCGGCATTTGGAGTTTAGCTGTTCTAAGTGATTTACAGTAGTACCTCACGGGGGGGGGGGGACCAGGCCATAGTGGGGGAAGAGAGAGGTAGGGGGGACTGGGAAGAGATGAGGGATACAAGGTGAGTAAATTGGAATCAATAAGGAGAAGAAAGAAAAAAATTTTAAAAATAAATTTTCAATCCTCAATGACATGTGATGTCGGATATCTTCTCATATGCAAGCACCTTCTTTGAGAAGGTATTTAACTCAGATCTTTTACCCAATTTTAATAATTCTTGGCTTACAGTTCTTACTACACATTATATAAATATAACATAATTATAAAACAACCTATAGTATTCTATAGGGTTACATACAATACTATATGACATTGGTATACATGATTACTTTTTAATTTTTGAATTCTAAGAATTACTTGCACATTTTATGTTTCAAATTAAATGTGCTAGAATGCTCAAATCATGGAACTCACCTAGGCCATTCAGTGTTCTCTGATTCTACTCATTAAGTATCTTCCTTGGCTCACAGCACAGCCATTTGGACTGCTTACTTGTAAATATATCAGCAGATTCCTCCCTCTACCTTCCTCTCCCCCCCCCGTCTCTGTCTCTCTATTTCTGTCTCTGTTTCTGTCTCTCTCTGGTTTTTCAAAACAGGATATATCTTTGTAGCCTTGGCTGTCTTGGATCTCCCTTCATAGACCAGGCTGGCCTCGAACTCACAGAGATACAGGAGCCTCTGCCTCCTGAGTGCTGGGATTAAAGTAGTGCACCACCACTGCTGGGCTCAATGTCACATTCTCTAGAAGCCCACTTTCATTCCTTCTAAGCTCTGGTCTCTCCTCTACAATCTCAGCACTAATTGAGATTAATTTTGCTTTTTCAAGCTGCCTTGTTTGTCGTTATGTGAATGATAATTTGAAAGAATATCATTTCAAAGTTTTGGCTTGACCCAATATTCAACACTGTATTCTTTAGATTACTACCACCAGTCTTAAACCTAGCAGGCTTGCACATATATTTTTTCTTTTAATTATATGTTTATTATTTAAAACAATTTTAAATCTAAATATAGTTTGATCATATTTCTCTCTAAGTACTTTCAGATCCTCTGCCCCTCTCTGCCTACCAAACTTTAGGTTCTTTCTCAAAACAAAACAAAACAAAAAACACAAAAAACCTCTAAAGCCAAGAAAACAAGATAAAACCACACCCAAATGAAAACAAAACCAAAAAAAAAAAAAAATACCCACCAAACTGTCACCAAATAAAAGTGCGCGCACGCATGCGCGCGCACACGCACACACACACACACACACACACCTATGGAGCTTGTATAATGAGCAACTATGTTAGGCCTGTTCTGGAGTATGTGATATATACAGTGTCACTATTGGAGAAAACTGATTCTCCCTCTTCCAGCAGGTATAAAAGACAGTTCTGTTGTTAACCTTTAACCTAGTAGCTAGGTTTTCATTCACTTATTCATTTATTCAAAAATGATAACAAAAAGCTAACAAGATGAAACAAAAACTGTCACATTGAAGTTGGAGAAGACAAACCATCAGAAGGAAAAGACCCCTGAGAAACAGCCTGTAGACTATTACTGTAGGAAAGCTTTGAATTCAGAGAGAGAAAGGGCAGAAGAAGAAAATCAGGACAGAGTGTCATTCATACTGAGAGCTTCCGGAAAGATTTTGGCTCTAAAGCTGAACATGATGGCACACATCTGTAATGCCAGCATTTGGGAGGCTGATATTGAGAGATCTTGAGATCAGGGCCACCCTGGGCTACATAGGAGATCCTGACTGAAAAAGAAAAGATAGATAGAGGGAGAGAGGGAGGAAGGAATGTAAGGAGAGAGAAGGGGAGGGTAGAGAAAGAAAAGAAAAGAGGGAAGAGAGGGAAATAGAGAGGAAGTAAGGGGAAACAGTAAAGGGAAGTGAGGGGAGAAGAAGGATAAAGTTTCAGACTTTCAATAGCTTTCCAATCCATCCTTACTTTTTAAAAACTATATTATAAATCTCATATATTATTATACTTTTATATATTAGTGACATATCAAAGCGTTGATTTTATCCCACAGTACATATATGTATTACTATAATTGCTGTATTACCTCTAGTCTAGTAGTTTGCAGTAATATCACAGCAATATATAATTAAATTATGTGAATGAAAGTATTCAGGTAATTAGGTAACTTGGCAAACCTCAGCATTAATCTGCATAGAGTAAGAGTCAAGGTGAATCTGTATTTTCATGCAAATGCATCTGCCATCTGCCAAGAGAGGCTTATCTTCAGACATATTTGAGCAGCAGTCATTAATAGAGGTCAAAGCATGTGGTTTTGTTAGTAAAAAATTATTTTCTTAAAATTTTTGAAAATAAAAATCAAATGCTTTAGAAGTCTCCTCATAAAACAGAAAATTCTCCATCCTGTCTGTTCTGTGATATCTACCTTTGTGATGAAAACACCTTTAGCCACTTTTGTTTTTTATCCACATGGTAGTTATACCTCATCTCTAAATCCAAGCCTTAAAAATATATTATTAGTTTCTTGCTATGATGTACACAGAATGACTGCATATTTCATCAAGAATAAAAACACATTTTCCAGCTAGTATTAATTACTTATCTGGCATCCTTTTAACCAGAGAAAGGACAGGACAAAAATTATTTGCAAACTTATTATTGCAAGAAGTCAGAGTTAGCTCAATAAATTATACACAAACTCTTGGGCCCTCAAATAACAAAACCTGGTCAGGTTTGATATGTTTTCCATGTGTGACTCAAGTTTCTGGAAATGCACTAAAAAGCCAGAAAGATGAAATGTCTGTGTTTTCTTAGTCATTTCTTGCATAGTTGGAAAGTTCAATGCGATAATTTAACAACTTTTATTTTCTTCAGCATTCTGCTTTGTAGACATAACAAAGCTATGAAAGAAATCTGATTGTAAAGTGACCCTCAGAAAAGGAAACATACCAATGGAAACAGACTCGTCTGGTTGGTTACAAATACTTGAGGGACCCGTGTGTGCCAGGTTGCTGACGGTTCGTTTGCTTTCTCTGTTCCCTGCAGCATGGATGACATATTGGTCGGGGCACCTCTCTTTATGGAGCGTGAATTTGAAAGTAACCCCAGAGAAGTAGGACAGGTCTACCTGTACCTTCAAGTGAGCGCCCTCCTCTTCCAAGACCCGCAGGTTCTCACTGGCACTGAGACTTTTGGGAGATTCGGTAGCTCTGTGGCCCACCTGGGAGACCTGAACCAAGATGGATACAATGGTAATTCAGGGCAATCTGTGGGCTTGCTTGCACTTTAGTGCCATGCTACTGCTGCAAAAGGGAAGTCGTGGCCACTTCAAAGATTCTTAATGATGGCGCCCACTTATGACTGTTGACTCTTAATCAATTCTGAAAAATCTCAAGACAAATTTAAGTTTGTATGTCTTGGTTAATTAAGACATTGCACAGAAATTTTCTCATGTGTGATTTCTCAATGGTGACTTGAGAGTGATAGAAATTTGCATACGAATAGAGTGGAGATAAACACATGTTGCTGTGTGAGCAAGCATATAATTGTTTTCTGATAAACTACAATAGTTTATGGGTGTTTTACTGGCTCATTCTTGGTCAGTAAATGTCATTTTAAAGGCCCTTTTCACGTTTGCAATATAATAGTGGTAAAGCCTTATTTTGGGCATGTGATTCTTAAGAAATCCATATATGTTCATGTCAAACTTTGCATACGCTTCAGGATATGTAAGTAAAGAACGAAAGTGCTATGTGTTTGTCATTCAAAGAGGATGTGATAAGAGGAACTTCTTGGATTTAACCAGGATGGGAGGATTCCCACCAAAGGGATATTCACACCCACTAGTATCAAGGGTTTCACATTCAGAATTTCTTCAAAAAAAAAATCTCAGCAACAGGTAATTGCTAGAGTCCTATGGGTCAGGAATACAGGTCAGTAGGAGAGCACTTGCCTAGCATGTGGGAGGCTCAAGCCTCAGAACAGAAGAGGAAAACAAAGTGCCTGTTAGATACTATGTTCTGGGAGGATGAAAAAGACTCTTCCCCTTATAGTAACAGACCTTGTCGCTTTCTAAAGCGACTATCCCAGGAAGTATGTGATACAAAATTATGTGATCTAATTGTCTTTCCCCTTAAACCAATTCTGATGTTCTTAAGAGCTAAGAAAAGAATATCTTAGTCTCTGGACCTTGGTGTTCTAGAGTACAAAACAAGCAAAATACTGCCCACCTGGGCTTAAACTTAGTGACAGCTGGGAAGTCACGGATTTAGGGGAGGGCAGAAAGTGTTTCTTCCCACCAAGAACATGATGCTGTCTTTATTTTCTGCCACAGTCAGAGTTGCTAGATCACTTATCTTGGGCAGATCTTCTTATTATAATTCTCAAAGAAAATTGAGTCCTGATTCATTCAGAGTTGTCCACATAGAAACACACAATGAGACATTTTGCCAACAGATGAGACTCGCCCTCAGTTTGTAAATGCGTATGTTGCCATTGGTAACTTCTTTTCAAACGACAAAAGTTTATATATAGCAACCAGAACAACCCTGATAACTCATATGGCAAGCAATGTATTTGGGTGAGAGTTGGGTAATATGGCTCTCCTTGGGTTTCCTAGAACCCTTGATTATAAAATAGGCTCTTTCTAGCTCACTAGATTAGGTAACTGTTGAATAAAACAATCCATAGGGATGGAGCTTTTGATTTTTTTTTTGAAAGAAGAAACTCCTACAACAGTATGTGGCCTGGTCCAGCAGCCTCATGACTATGCCTCACAATCATTGATGACCATCATGTAGATGGTCCCTTGCCTCCTCTGCTTTTCAAATGGGCTACCCTCCTTCTTCCTCCAGGTCTTTATAAGGTGGCTCCTTCTCCTGAAAGGGGAGGAAGGGCTCTTCCTTTTAATTGTCACATGCTTGGTTTCTTAGTGACCTCAGTGTGAGCCACAGTGGCCCCTTAGTTGACAATGCTAGCTCTCTTCACTGTGCCAGTGTTTAAAAAATTTAACATTTTCTCAATTGTATCTCTCTTCAGAGTGCCCGTTACCTTCCCATAAAACACAAACTTTCTAAACACGGGTCTTTGGGGTCTCACTGGCATTGCGCCGACTGCAAGCAGATCCTTGCACCCTCTCGGCAGACACCTATGCCGACATAAGGCCACGGGACTTCTCCGTTGTCACAGTACTCCCGAAACCTCTGGAAAATATAACAAGCCATTTGTGCTTCGTGGCATCGCTTTTGGGTTACACTTAATTTTTTTCTGAAATAATTTTTTCTCCAAATCTGATTCTGTGTCTGTAGACATTGCCATCGGCGCGCCCTTTGCGGGCAAGGATCAAAGAGGCGAAGTGCTCATTTACAACGGGGCTCCAGAAGGCTTACATGCCACGCCTTCCCAAGTTCTGCAAGGAATGTGGGGCTCCCAGGCCATCCCTTCCGGGTTTGGCTTTTCTCTAAGAGGAGACGCAGACATAGACAAGAATGATTACCCAGGTAAGGTTCTCTGTCTTTTCCCACATGAGTACTTTCTTCCTGGCAAGAGCCCATTCTCTGGCAAATACATTATGCGTAAGTATTTCTCTCCTAAAAGATGAAGGTCGAATTTAAGATGGCACGGGTTTTTTGGTATTACTCCAGAGTGACTTTCACAAATATTTAAGACAAAACAAACAGTTCCTTTATAGTCAAGAGACAATGTTAGAAGGGCAAGATGGCTTTAAAAGCCGCCTCTGACATAAAGCTTATCAACTGTGCAACCCAAGTTTTCACTGAAAGCCCAAAGGGACACGGCCTCCAAAGGGCATTCAGCTGGAGTCAGACACACGTCTCAAGCAATTTATTTTAACCTGTTATTCCCGTTTAAGCTCAGTGTTACTATTAATCAGTGCATAACCTAAATTTTTTTGTTCTAAGCTGTATGTGTTCAGAGCACATTTTCCAACCATATTCCTGGCCTTTTCAAAGTCAGTTGGTAAAATAGTTCATGATGGGAAGCATAAGCTCCTCTTGATTGAGCTTTTCATAATGGCAATCTATACAGCACAAACAGGTCATTCATAGTTTGCAGCTGTGACACAAAAATACGAGTTTGTCCTAAAGGACTAGTAATCAGAACGTTTCTCAGAAGCCTTAGACTTCCGGGTTTCATGGTTCATTGGTCACTTTTCTGTTAGTTTTTTAAGATTTTCATAAATCTTAAAAAACATTAATACTTGATGGACAACTTTATTTTCTAAAACCTGTCTCTTTCCACCATACTGTTCCATTTTTGGAAATCTCCCATCTATAGCCTGCTCTCTGGTTCGGGGAAGCAGTTCAGTAAGCTGACTGTGCAAATGTACATTGTGATTCCCGTTGTTTGGCCTTGTTTCTTCTCTGGAATCAAGCAAAACAAAAATAACAAAACATATTCTCGTAAATTTTCCAGAAAACTTCCACAGCATTGGCAGAGCTGGAATGATGGGCTGAGAGGATTTGGGTCATGCTATGTGCTAATGCTACTGTGGGAATGCAAAAAAAAAAAAAAAAAAAAAAAAAAGTGAAATGTGTTTGCTTAAGCTATACAGTACTGACCATAGTCAATAGTTTGATAGGGGCAAAAGTCTCCTGCATAACGTATCCTAGATTTGACTAATTAAAAACTCTGGATCCCTCATGTCCATGTCGTTACTATTCCAACTCTGTCAAGGTGATTAATGAAATCCAACTCTTGTGTTGCAGTTGCAGTTTATTTAGAAACTATGGCTGTTCATCATGTCTGTCATAAACATCCTTTCCCTACGGGTAGTAACACGGAACTTGATGGGCAGAATGGCTGTGCCTTCTACAGGGCAAGGGAGTAGAGGATGTGTCAGTCAAACAGCCAGTGCACCACTTCCTGTGAAGGCTGAACAAGGGCCAAATGAGGGTAAACACAAAACAACTTTCCCATCAGATTCCATTTCTTCCAAGCGAGCAGGCCAGGGAAGGAAGGGCAGGACAAGCAGAGAGCACCCATTTGTCTCTTCACAGGCTCCCAAAGTGCAGCCTTGGCTGGTCTTCGTGTCACCCATGGGATAAATTGTAGGGGGATGAGATTTGGGTCGGGGGTCTGAAACTTACCAGGTGTACCAGGTACTTTCTGATCCTGTTCATAAACGCTGAAGGGATGGCACCCTGGAACGTTAACTCGTCAACACCAGGAGGTGCTGAGGGATCTGGGTTTTGAACCCAGCACCCTCCTTTCCAAGCAAGCGGTGCTTCAGAGTCAGCAAGGGCAAGGCTGCCACAGCCAGGTGTCCAGTTTCCTCTTTTTATCTAAGCTCCCACATTTCCTTTCTCCTTACAAGGGTAAGCTAGGCAGCAGCTCCTTATTCCAGATCGTTCTCGTGTTGTTGTAACAGTGTAAGGTATGAACGTACCACAGACTGTGACCCAACAGGAAAACTGAGTGGGAAGGCTCATTGGAACATGTTTCATTTTTCAGGCACTGGTCTACAGCTGATAATGTTTACCAAGTTTCATTTAAAATAGACTACCACAGTTAAAAGTCAAAGTGTTTACTTTTTTTTAAATTTTAAATATTTATATTAAGGTGAAAGGACTATACCAAGTTGCCCCCTGACCTCTACGTGTGTGCTACCCCCCATACACATGCACACAGACACATACACACAGAGATACACACGGACACACACACACGAATAAATAGATAGATAGATAGATAGATAGATAGATAGATAGATAGATAGCTAAATAAATAAATAAATAAATTTTAAGTGAAAGCCATCTCAAGATAGCACAACGGCAGGAACACCCTAGGCCCTGGAATGTACTGCCAGCTCACCTCTCTTCACTCTCCACAGCTTCCTCCTCGTTCTCCTCTCTCCTCTGTCCTGTCTTCTTTTTTTTTTTTTTTGGAGGAAAATAATTTGAATTTATTGTTTATTTAAGTATATGTGTCTGTGTTAAGCATACAACATACAGGTGAAGGTTTCCATACAGGCCTGCCTGAAGAGAGCATAGGCTTTTATGTACCCAAAGGTAAAAGGTATTTTGATCTGTCTGACATGGTGTCTGAATACCAAACTACAGTCCTCTGAAAGAGCAGCAAACACTATTAATTGAATATTCCTTTTTCCAGCCAAATGAAATATTTTCATACATACACCGGTAGAAAGATAGACTGTCTTCTTTTCTCCTCTCCTCTCTACCATTCTGTCCTCTCCTTTACTTTCTTTCCCCATTTCTTTCTTGTCCCCTCCCCCATGGGCTCCTCTCCCTCCTCTCATTCTCTTAAGTTCCCCTTCTCTCCTCCCTTTACTTCCCCTCCCCCGTTTTTCTCCTCCCTTTTCCTCTCCATTCTCTCTCTTCTTTTGTATCTCACACTCCTCTCTCCCTCCTCTTACTCTCATATCTTCCCTCTTATCACCTGCTCTCTGACCCTTTCCTCTCCTCCATTTTCTTTGTTCCCCTTTGCCTCCAGACCAGATTCCTCTGTACACAGGACTAGTTAGCTGTTTCTGCTCCCAACTCCAGGGATGACATGTTTCACTTGAATCCATTGAAGTCTGCAATTCATTTGAGTCTAAAATCCTCTGGGAAGAACTTGGATTGACTCAGAGACAAAGGGTGATATTTTCCAAAATAGACAAGAGTTGACTTGTAGACAGCGCACGCATCCCAGGAAGCCTCCAGTATGGCAACCCTACCAGGCAATAAGTGGAAAATGACCCCAGAGAATAATAATGGCAACGAGAAAGGAGAAAAACAGTGCAAAGGAAAATGTTACTTGAAATGAAACCCTGATTTTAAATTTCTCAGCCTTGTTTTTATGTTGGTGGTTTTAGTCCAGAGGCTTAGAAGGAAGATAACTAAGGCACTGCATCCTGTCAAGCAGCACATGCTCTGCTCCGCTGTGGACTGCAGGCTGTGTTGGGGCCAGACAAGTTGCTGCCTTCCCAAACTTAAAACCACAGGCAATGCTGCTCCTCACTGTCTACAGAGGACTTCTGAGTTGACCTCCTGTGAAGGCCGATATCAGACAGCCACGCAGGGGAGGCAGGGAGGGAAACTACGCTGAGAACATGTGACCTCCTGGAACAGCGCAGAGGCGTCCAGAGTCACTGACAAACCACAGGGCAGGAGGCAGAGAGACAAGCTGGAGGTGGACCGAGTGGCTGGCCATCTTTGCATGTCCTCTACAGGGAGGGGGAAAGAACACACCTGTGTGTTGCACGCTAGCTTCGGTGTGGGAACTGGACACATGGAGCGCTGTATGACCTAGTTTAGTGGAGGATGAGCGTGACCTTGATCTTGGTTGTGATGGGATGGTCATAGGGACATAGATGAAGAGCGTCTTGGTAGGTGAGTAACTGTTGTATGCACAGGGTAAGGAGGGGTGGGTTTTTGAGCAGCTTCCAGTTCACAGACTCTGGCGACTAGCCATGTGGCAGAGCCATTCCAAGTTCATTCAGACAGGAGAAAGTGAGGAGCCACAGAGCTATGGTGGAGGTACTGATTTGTAAACACTGTGTGTCCGGGATAACTTGGCCTTCCAGTGACAGTGCGGAGTAGTGGTGGAGTACAGTTTGTTGGGAGCGTGGGGCTTATCCAGAGCTGCAGGACTAGAAGACGTGGGCACTGAGGCGGTGGCCATGTGAGGTGCCAGTTTGAGGGGCAATTCAGACACAGTAAGATTCCACATGTGTGAATTACCACATGGAGCCTCTGCTGAAGACTGAAGAACCTTCTTAGCCTGCTGACCTTCTATTGGTCAGTTCCACCAAATAAGGTGCTCAAGAAGTAGCTGGGTGTGGTGGCGCACACCTATAATCCCAGCACTCGGGGAGGCAGAGGTAGGCAGATCTCTGTGAGTTTGAGGCCAATCTGGTCTACAAAGTGAGTCCAGGACAGCCAAAGCTACAGAGAAACCTTGTCTCAAAAACAAAACAACAACAAAGATATTCAAGAGGTGACAGACAGCCTTCACATGGGACTGACATTTGATTTTTTGTATTTTGGCGCACTCTCTCTCTCTCTGTGTATTGTGGTATGGTGTGTGTGTGCATGTGTGTGTACACTCTAGGGTGCCCACATGTGAGTGGATGTGGAGGCCAGGGTAAGATGTCAGGCATTTTCTTTATCACTCTGCTTTATTGCTTTGAGACAGGGTCTCTTACTGCACCGAAGCGTGCTGCTTTCCCTAGGGGAGCGCTCTTAGGATTCACCTGTCCCCACTCCACAGTGCTGTGGTTAGCTGTGGTTTTAGGCATATACCCAGTCATGTCCAGCTTGTCTCCTCTTTTTCACACAGGTGTTGAGGAATTTGAACTATAGCCTCATGCTAGCAATGCCAGCACTTTTACCTACTGAGCCATCTCCTCAGCCCCTAAATCTTGACTTTCTTCAGGAATACCATGAAATGTAAAAATTTGCAAATTCATGAAATGCTTACATCTTAAAAATGTACCTTTTTTTTTGGACTAGAATAGAATATGCTCACAGAAATCTAA